AGTGTTCGACGAAATGCCCAAATGAAGTATGATATTTTATGTTCTCAGCCAGTGATGTAAAGGTCAGCCGGGGAACTGGGAGGCCTGAAATGACCTTGTGGTGGCCTTCTAAGGGAGAAGCCAAGCCAAAATTAGCCTGGGTCGGCCAGCCAAGCCTTGACCGATGTTCGGGGCCCGAAAGGCCTCGTTCAAGGCTAGGGCGGCAACCACTGTGGCCGGCCGTTAGGTGGCCAGCCAAGCATGGAACCTCTTTGGCCTTAAGTGCTGAGGAGGATGAGGCTAATGGCCAACCGAGATGGCCGGCCACACGCTAAATCTTAGCCTGTCGGGAGTCTTGTGTGCTTGAGGCACGCGAGAACCGAGTCATATTGGGCCTACAGTCGCGGTCGGACCGGTCTACAAGTCCTAGCCGACCCGAACCGGCCCCTTTGTGGGCCGAACCCTTTTTAATTTTTTAATTTCCGATCGGACCGGGCCCAATCCAGCAATGAACCTAGGTTGATGACCCGAGTCAACCCCGACCGGGGTCCGATCTCCGGAGATCCAACCCGGATCCGTTTATTATAATATAATATAATATTATTATTTTAATATTTTAATATTAAAAAATATTTTTTAATTAAAAATTTGATAATTTTCGAATATCAAAAGATAGAATTTGGGCTTTGGAATTCCCCTTTCTTGTCCTTTTCATGTGATTAGTGCCATGCTTGATTGCACGTTGGTTGGTTCGCATGTTTGAATTGCATGTTTAATTCGATCTTACATGTGGTCGATTAAAGGCATGCTAGGCCATTGTTTATGCACTTCCGATGCATTGATTTTTGTTTCCTTGGCCTTGTTAGGACTAGAACCCTAGGATTCAAAATCGATAGGAAGATTGCATGAACACTTTAGGTGGTGTTTGAACAAGGTTAGGTACCGAAAGGGCAATAGTTAGATAACTAGTGTAATTAAGTCCGCAAACTCTTTGAATTTCTGGTTCGTAGGAGTAAGGCAATTCTCCCATCACCTTACTTGGATTTCTAATCGACCCACCCTAAATTGATTAGGGGTGACTCCTAGATAAAATTGATTTGTATGTTAATAACTTAAATCTTAAGTCGCGAGTTAGTATGGGCTTGAGAAAGCTCGAGTTAAGTTCCTAGGTTTAGACTTAGCAATCCATTAGACTCTTAACCCTCTTCGGCCCCTTTAGGCCAGCCTTGGGGAGGTCGCGACACCATTGTTGAAGTTTCCTCTTCCGACTAAATCATTAATGGCGACTTCAGTTGGCTTCGATAACCAAGTAACTTCGGTAGTTTTGATGGAGGAGTGGCCAAGGTGCTTTTTTCTCTATTTAGATATGTTTTGCTTGTATTCAAGTTCATTTCGTGGATTATGAATGTCCTGAACTGATTTGTATGTGAAGTGACTAAAACAATCTCCTAGAGAGGGTTGAATAGTTGATTTTAAAGAACTTGAGAAATAAATGCGAAATTAAAAGTGTCAAGTAAATATAAATGTGATAGCGAAGAAATAGAGTGTTGATACGAGCAAGTTCTGATAATATCTAGGAGTGTAGTAATGAATATGATCAGGGATAGAGAAAGTGCACTCAGAATTATAGTGGTCTAGCTTAGTCCAAGCCTACGTCAATTTTCCCAGCTAATAGGTTAGTGGCTGGATTTCACTAGTCAATCGTTGAAAATCTATAGTTGTAAGTGCTGCTTATGTTCAAGCACTTCTTCTCGAAGTAGATGCTGCTTATATCCAATAAGATAAAACTCACTATTTCACACCTAAGCACAAACTTTCACATTGCCAACACTTATCAAAGATTACAATTTTAAAGCACTTAGAAGACAATCAATAGAATGTAAACCTTTCTCGAAATTTGGAATTATAAATTCTCGACCTCTCTATCTCTTTTAGTGCCTTGGTGTTCTTTTATACTCCTCCCATCGAAGCTTCCCATTGGACAATCTTTATAGGATCATTCTCCAATCTAGCTGTTGGACAATTGTTGAGAAGATTAAATAGCCATTAAGGTTGATCAACCAGGATTTCTATAGATTTGGTCTCCTATACAATCAAATATTTGGTTTCCAAAATAGTGAATTGTCAATGGAATGTATCTTGCATTTGGGATGATTGTCAATCAATCAAGATATCTCGCGTAATTGAATATTTCGCGTACATAATTTTGGTCAATCAAAAACTTATAATTATGGAATCCATACTAGATTACAAAAAAATAAAAATAAAAAATAGAGTGACTTGTCTATGGCATGTATCTTGCATTTGAGATGATTGTCAATCAATCAAGATATCCCGCATAATTGAATATTTCGCGTAGATAATTTTGGTCAATCAAAATCTTCTAAATAAGGAATCCATATCATATTACAAACTGTTAGGCTGCGTTTGATTGTCCGTATTTCTAAACATGATAGGACTGGATAGGATAGGATAAGAAATCCTGGGATTTCTTCATATCCTATCCACTGTTTGGTGGACTACGGATTTAAAGTCGGATAGGATAATTTTTTTTTTTTGCTATTCATGGGTCCGGAGGAGTCGGTGAAGGAAAAAAAGCCGAGAAATTTTTATGGTGAAAGCGCACAAGGTGTGGGGATGAAGATGATGGCGAGTGGAGCGTAGGGTTTCTGGAAAAATATGCATTAGAAATCCTATCCAGGTCTATCCCACCCCCCTTCGGATTTTTTTTATCCGGGCTATATCCGGTCTATATCCGACCTTATCCTATCATGGACCACCACCAAACACAGGATATGATAAAACATATCATATCCTGGCTTTTATCTGGTCGACCAAACGCAGCCTTAAGGGATAGAATATCTCAAGATAATATTCTTGATATTTGTAATGAAAAGTTGTCATTGCAGGTTTATAAATGCGCTATTCATTTTCACAGTCGTTTCCTATATCCAGCTACTGATATCCAGTGTATGCTCTGTTTATATCCACTCAGTAATTTGCTTATATCCACCCATTGCTCTGCCTATATTCACACAGTACGCTATTGATATTCATGCAATACCTTGCAATACCCTATTGATATCCACGCACTACCCTGTTGATATTCAAGCAATAGATACACCTGGCTTCCTAAATATATTCAACTGTTCTCCTAGAGATACTTTGATTACGATAGTGATTTAGACCCTCTAAACTTAACACCTTGGCATATATGCTCCACTCAGGTTCCTCAAGTCATTTAGAAGATTTTTCACTAATCATATCAAAGTCCTTTTTCAACCTGAGACCCAAACAACTTTTGCAATTATCAGGATTGATATAGACCGTGGACAATTTTGTCATCTTTAAAAATATAATAGGAGGTTTTCTCAACAATATGAATTGGGCCTCGAATTTCATATGTTATTAACCGAGATCATTAGTCATTAAGCACGATTTCTGGAATATTCCATAATAGCCGAGAGCATTATTGATCATAATTCGCAACAAACGAGATGAAGGATATGAGAAGTGCGTTCAAATAGATGTTCTTATTTCTTTCTTTCTTTTTTGTTTCACTCCTCTATTTTATGTGCATGTGTGTGCGATGCTCATAGGATCGAACCTCGAACCTAGTACTCTTTGGCCCCAACCCTCAATCCCTTTACCAACGGGACCGCAAGCCTATTGGCTTCTTCAACAACTTGTTTAAGTTGAATAAGTGTCAGGATTTTGACAGAAGTAGTTCACATACTGATGATAGAGAAATAACCAATAGGGTCCTGTGAGGCCTAGACTCTAGAACAAATGAGAAAAATTGTAACATATTATGTTGTCAAATACAATTGTTTGTATGCATATAGGTACTGTATCAAAATTTTAATCTATAGACTATAGATTGTACATCAGAATATTACTTGTAAAGTTTGTACCTATCAAATTTTTATTGACAGGAAACATGATTCAGTGAGGATGAAAGCGGCCCAAATACTGGCAAGTTAAACTAATTTCTTGTTACAGGAAAACATAAAGGAATTGAAAAGGGATGTGAAGACCTAGATATCTGGTTTCCATGTCGACCATAATTTGAATGGGTGTTGTTCTGGAATCTGTAGCCAATATAGGCTTTCCATGGAATTTCTTTTTCAGAAGTTTTAGGGTAGAAGTTGCTTTTTACTTTTTTTTATAGATCAATCACAGAGAGAAAAATGTATACTTACTAACCACAATCATGAACGGCTCTTGTCACTAGCCAGGGCCGTCAAACAGGTGGGTCGGATCGGATTTGGCTCGGGTCGAATATGGTCCGACCCATATTGACCCATTTAACTCGTTTTGACCCATTTTCATGCAATGCAAATATAGTGACCCATACCCGACCTGATCTGTATCCGACCTGTACCCGACCCAACCCATATTACCATAACACATTAATATTTTAGGGAAATATATACCCACCCATTTAACTCACTTTAACCTCTTCACATGTATATTTTACAAAAATAAAACTTCGTATCAAATTAAAAAAGCAAATTAAACAATAAAACAATTAGTAAATAAAATATGTGAAAAACCTATAAATTGAAATACTTATAAAGAACTTAAGACTGGGAAAATGGGTTCCAAATCATTTTGTTACTTAATTTTAATGAGCCCAATTTTCCATGGGTAACTGATTTTTTTTCTAAATAGGTTATAAATGAGTTGAGAAAAAATAAAAAGTCAAAGTGACCCATATTTTAACTCATTTTCCAAAACCCATGTCAACTCAAGCAAGTTATGCAGTTCTCTACGAATAGTTAAGAGGTTTTCAAGGATCGAACCGAGGATCATGAGTTCTTATATTTGTTGACACCGAAAGATAGCCTGACATAATTAATCGTGTGAGCTAGATACCTTCGACTCTCATATCATAGAACGCATCGATCGCTTCCTCACTCATCCCATTCTAAACATAGCCACTAAAATGAAGTTCCAAGCGACCACATTTCTCAGGTATAAAATCAAACACCTTCCGTGCGTCCTACGAAAGCATCCACTTTCCGTAAAAATCAATGAGACTACTTGCCACAAAAACACATCCACCAAGACCCATCTTCTTCACAAATCCACGAACCCCTTTATCAAACCCAATCCACATCAAAGTCCCACAAGCCTTCAACGAATTCGGGACCGTGAAATTATCTGGCAAAACACCATTTTCCTGCATTTCGCAATATCCAATCAAAGCCTCCTCACAGAGCCCCACTCTACAATGCAATCCCAAAGTTCAGCAAAGCAAAAATGATCCAAGAAATTCGCAGAAGTTACAAGAATCTTCGCAAATAAGGCAACAAAGGCGAAACTGAGCTGAGTCCAATCACAGGAAATCGCAACTGCATTGGCGAAGAGCAAAGTAGGGTCATTGACGGGGACGACCGGGCTCGACGGCCAGTTGACGTGCCTGTTCCCTCGACGAACTTGATGAAAGTGTTCCGCACCCGGCTGGCGGGCCACTGCTCCTCCACTAGCGGCATGGCGGCGTCACCACGCAGTGGCATCGCCTGAGGGGATTGCGGTTGCCGCGATGGCGTCCGATCGGGGATGGAGTCTTGCGGCGGCGGCGATGAGGGACACCGGAAGCGGAGGGACGGAAGAAACGGAGAGGGGGCGGCGAGATTCCAGTGAGAGAGAGAGGTGCTGCTTCGTCGTATACGGAGGGAGAGAGAAGAGAGGACGAGGAGTCAAGTTGGGTTGAAAGTGGGCTTGTTACTCAACCCATTAAAACCCATATTTTTGGGCCTTTTTACTTTAGAATCCATATTGACTCATATTTTAAAATTATGCTAATCCACTTATGACCCATTTTCATAAATATGGATCAAGATATGGGTTTGTGACTTATTTTGACAGCCTTATCACTAGCAAGCGATTCTTGCTTTCGAGAGGTTAAACACCCCTCAACAATTTGGTGGTGCCGCTAGGGTCGCCACCAGCCGAGCTAGCAATGATGTGGGCAAGCAGGACTCGCCTACTAGTGGCGAGTGTCGTCGGCGCCACTTTGCTATCCTTATAGTAAAGTTTTGGTTTTTCTTTTTCAACTTTGAGATTGTTTCAGTTAAACTTATTTTCTGTTTTTTTTTAATTTTCTTCTGTGGTGTTAAAACGAAGTCATTTTGAGCACGAATTATTTAAAAATAACTAAAAAAAATCTGTCCACTTAAAATCTGACTTAGTTGACGAAAGGATTTAAGTGCACAAGACTGATAAGTGTTAAGATTTAAATGGATGAAATAAAAATTTTAGGACTAAAGCGTACGGTATTCATAACTTTTAAAACTTGCACGGTAACTATTCCATGATAAATGGACATCTTCCATTCACCCCCCGAGAGAAAGATATGCGAGTGTAAATAAAATACGGTAACCAAAATTTATTTTCCCCATTTCTGTTATTATTTTATTTATTTTTAAAATTTTTTCTTTCCCATAAAGTCCTTCGTCCCCAATTTGGTACGCAGTTCTTTGCCGTTCTTTGCAAACCTCTCACTCCGGATCGGGCAACACCACTATCAACCTTCGTCTCAGCTCCTCTCTTGCGCGCGCACTCTGTTGCACCCCGTTGTAAAAACATTGGGGTTTCCCCAATTCCCAGTCCTTGGTGGGGCGACGAGCAGACAAGTTGAGCACACCAGGGGCGAAGGCGGACGCAAGGAGTAGAGAGACTAGGGTTTAGATTATTATGGTAATTTTCATAAAGCCTAAGGACATTTTGCTCAATTGGAGATAGCTGGACCTGATCCAGTTACCTCTTAACTGGAGAGGATGAATGTTGATACCTATTTTTTTAATTTGCCTAAAATAAATTATGCAAAAATTTAGGGGTTAATGTCCTTAATTCCTAAAATAAAAAAAATTATTTAATTGCATTGCATATAGACATTAGATACATTTTGCATTATTAGAATATATTTTTCTTCTTTTAATTAAAAAAATATTACAAATTAAAAAAAAAAAGGTCTGATCGGGCCGGGTCGACCCAGCCCTCTCCTTTCTTCCCCCCTCCCGCGGGCCCAGCCCGCTCCCTCTCTCCCCCTTTGGCCTAGCCCCACTCCCTCTCTCCTCCTTCCTCCACCGTCACTGCAATTGGCCGCCGCCTAGGACAAAGTGAAGAAGTTGCTCCACCGTGCAAAATCAGCCACCAAAGTCAACACAGCATATAGCAATTAAGAGGAGTTAATGGAGAGGATAGGGGGGCAGAGAGCAAGTGGCCGGCGGCCCCTATATAAGCCGACGAAGATGAGAGACAGTCCCGGCCAAAATAGAGCTAAGGAAGACAGAGAGATTTTGAGAGAAATGCAGAGTAAAAGACTGAGCTTTTAGTGTTTGCAAGTCACAAAAGGAAGCAGCTAGCCTCGCCGTTGCCCGCAGATCGACCGGCGACCCCCCAGAAGTAGCCCCGATCGGTAAGCTTTCCCAGGCCCCTGTTTTCCCCTGTTTTTCTGTGCAGGTTGGCCGGGACTTGTGTCGGCCATTTCGCGTGAATCCCGGCTCATACCGATCCTGCTCCTGATCTAGACTCGCCATCAGAGGCAAGTTGTGGTTGCCGGAGCAAGCCTTGGCCTTGAAATAGGTCAAAGTTCCCCTGTTTTGTTCATGCATGCCAACTGTTTGTTAAAATGCCTTAGTGAGGCTGGTTTGGTTTTGATCTTCGCCGGTAAGTAGGTGGTCAAACGATGACTTAACTAGTTTGGGTTGGCCTTGTGGTGGTCACTAGGGGCTAAGAAAGACCAAAGGTAGGCCGGCCAAGTTTCGACCGACGTTTGGGCTCAACGAGCCCCGATCAAAGCTCGGCTAGCAACCACCTTGGCCGGTCATCAAGCGGCTGTCCACGGAGGGACCTCTTCAGCTTGAGTTGCTGAAGAGGATGTAGCCTTTGGCCGGACGAAACAGCCGGAATTTCGTCTGGCTAGTGGATCCCCTATGCCTGAAGTGCAATCAGCCCGGTCGAACCGGGTCCACAGTGCAGGTCGAAGCGGTCTAGTACGGTTGACCCGGTCCTTTTTGTTTGTTTCGAACAAACCGGGCCCTAACCGAGCCCGATTCGGTTCGAAACCCAGGTCATTGGTCCAGATTGGCCTCGATCCGGTTCGAATTCGAAAATCCCACCCAGGTCAATCAATTTGGGTCGGGTTCAAGGACCCGGGTCAGTTCTGACCGGATCTGGATTCGACGACCTGACTCGGATCTGAATATTTTTATTATTTTAATATTTTAATAAAAAACTAAAAAAATAATTTTTTTATATTTTCCAAAATTAGGAAATAGTCTAGAAATTAGTATTTTTAAATAATTTTCTAAATTATGTGAATTGTTTGATTAATAATTATGTCTAAATCGGATAAGTTTATAGGGCTATACAGTAGGATTTTGGATGTTATTTTTACTATTACTGTGTTATTATTATACATGTTATTTCTAATTAGTATATAATTGCATAAATTGTCATGTGTCGAATGTCATCACCCTAGTTAGGATTAGAACCCTAAGTTGCATATTTATCTTGACTGCTGATCGTTAATTTAATGATTGTGAACTAGTTTGATCACCTCATATGTTAGGACATAGGTCTTAAAATAAATCCAAACTGCCTGATAAACATTTTCTGAAATGAACAGAATAAAAGGTACCGAAAGGGCACTAGTCACTCAACTAGTGTAACCAAGTCCCCGAACTCATTAAATCTCTAGTTCGCAGGAGTGAGGTGATTCTCCTGTCACCTCACTTGGATCGACCCATCCTAAAATGATTAGTGGCGACTTTTAGATAAAAATTACTTGCAGGTTAAAAACCTAAACCACTAGTCACAATATGTTATGAGCTTGGGAGAGTCCGAGTTAAGTCCCAGACTTAGATTTAGAGCACACCAGGCTGACACCATTTTCCATTTCCTCGCGAAAAGGGCAGGTCGCGACAATGCAGATGTTCTTAGCAATCACTTTATGCATTTGTACCTCAAATCTCAACCTCTTATATATTAGTTATACATTCAATAACTGCGCTTGTACGTATAGATGAATGGTTGTATAAGAATATCCAATATAAAAGTTTGAACCATTAGGTAAAGGGAGACATAAAGCACACATATTTAAGCAATGTGAGACTACATTTAATACTCCCCCTCGTATAAACTGGTCTCTTTTACGCACATGACTTGGTTCTATATTGTGAAACGGGCATGCGTCCCCTTTTACGTAAGCAAAGTTAGAAATCCATCACGAGCAATGACTTTAAGAGGGAGCCCTAAGATTTGACATGTGCTCTCATATCATATGAGAATAACTAATCCAAAAGTGTCACGCCCTGTACCCTACGAACACGTAACATCCCGCCGCGGTCGTTAAGAATGCGACTCCCAGGATTCGTCGCCGACCCATTACCATCGAAGTAAGAGAAAATACGCGGAAGCCAAACGAACACTCCATTCAACAAACATTCAAACGGGATAACAAAGAGAGAGTTTAAACAAACCAACGAACTATTTTATAAACTTAACATCACATACAACGATAGAATATACAAGCCTTCCTAAAGGCCACAAACCCAGACCACGCATACTCAAAAAGGGATAGGGTGGTCGATCTGCTCCACTACTCTATTCAAAAGAGGAGCTCCCAAAAGATAGGGATCTCTAACCCTATCAAAAACCTCCACAACATCCCGGCGGTGCTCCCCGGCGAAGTCGGGTCAGATGCCTCACTATAAGAGCCGGACGGCAAGGACTCCCATTCAGGTTCTGGCCACTCGACCCACGCTGGAGGCTCTGTCACCATCGGTTCTGGCTCCGGATTAACTACAGTTCCGTCAGGGGGATCAATCTCCATAAGATCCCATAATCCTAAACCATCGTCAGGGGGAACATCAAACCCCTCGAGAGGACCAATATTCTGAGCTCCGTCTCTCAGAAACCAAGCCATGTACTTATGAGCTGTCAAGTACTGCTCCCCATCGTCGACCCAAACCGTGCTCTCATACTTCCGATACTCCCTACCCTCACCTACTGGGTACTCAGTCACCCAATGCTCCATCTCCGTTGGTACCCCGAAACGAAGCGGAGGCTCAGTCATAATCAAGGTCGAGGGTCTGAAAATGTTTAACAACGGGAATGAGATAAAATCTCAATAAGTAAACTGCCTAAGCCTCGACTAGGGCAATACGTACCTCCGGCACCCTAATCATGCCATTCTAATCAAAAGGTTAAGTTCCTATCCAACGGACAATGGTACCACATACTATGCAAGTCTCAATTTGTATCACAACCATGGCAACTATCAATATGCATAACATCAATAATAATAATCCAGACATAATCAATCATTCACACGAGTCTCGATTATAAGATGAAATCACTTCGGCCCGTCCCATACCGTGCCTCGCGATTTTACCCCATAATCAAGTTCAAAGCATACCATATGCACATAACACTCGAAGTTGTCCAGATTATTAACGACCCACCATAGGTCACACCGAACTCCCGCCGGTCTTCCGGCATAGCCAGGCATCACCCCACTACTTTGGGCGTGGCAACGTCCGGGATCGAACCCCCCCCGACAAGTCGGGTACCGGACGGCATCCCATTTAGGAGCATCGATCCGGCCTCCACCGCGATCGGCAATGTCTGGGATCGAACCCCCCCCCGACAAGTCGGGTACCAGACAGCATCCGAACTTCCGCCGGGCATCGT